CTTTTATTATACAGTCCACAAAAAGTATGTCTTAATAAACTTGGCATACACACTTGATAAAATAGGTAGTTTTCTGTACTCACCTAAAATCATGTCTAAAGAATATTCAAGTTAGGGTAGATTATATTGTATATGACTACATCAATTGTGAAGCATTTTCTTATAATCCATCTGCATTATCCAAATTTAGTGTCCTCACAAACAGAGACAAAATTCTGAGAGTTTTCAGGCATATAGCTAAGGAATTAGTAGATATGGAATATTTAAGTCAATTTGCTAAAAGATTATTTTTTTATGAGTGGCAATACCTATAATATTATAACCAAAGTCAATGGGAAATTAGGAATCAGGTTACAAACTGTTTTGATAGATGTGTATCATTAAATAGAGTACTAAAGAGATCTGAAGTGAACTAGATTTTAGACCTGGCTTTACCTCCATTCTACTTTTGTAACCTGGTTTATATGATTTAACCTCTTCAGTCATGAGCTGTCAAATGAGAGTGGTGACCTCCAACTTAGCCATCTTCTAGTTGTGACTCCTCATATCTTATTTCTATTTATCACTTAAATTAGATTTAGTAGCAAATAACAAGAACCCAAAATAACTGTGACTAAAACAAGGTAAAAATTTATTTCTAACATAAAAATTGAGAAGTAAGCAATCTAGGGCAGCACTGCTTCACAAAGCCCTCAAGAACCCAAGCTCCTCAAAACCCTAGGGTATGGCCCTTATCCTTGTCATCTAAAATAGTGGCTAGAGCTCCGGTCATCATACTTGTGCTTTAGGCATCAAGGTGAAGAAAAAATAAAATAAGAAAAGAAACAAATAGAACACACTGGCTATATTTTAAGGAAGATTCTTGGAAACGGCCACGCATCATTTCTGATAATATTCCATTGGCCACATTGAGTTGCAAGGGAAACTGGGAGATGTATTTATCATTTTGGGTGGCCATGTTCTCAACTACAGATGGGGAGAATGGTTACTGGGGAGCACCTTGCAGTATCAGTCACATACATCATCTTAAAAAGTCAACATTTTTAAAAAAGTAACAGGAAATCTCATTCAATACTTAGCGGTAGTGTTATCTATTTCCATAGGATTTAAGACCTTTCTATTTCAATAAACATTTCATTGTTTTCCTTTGCCAGTCACTGTGCCAAACTCTGGGGACACAAAAGTAAATAAGACAGACTTATGCCCTGTTCTCATGGGGCTTACATTAGAATGGGGACGATCATAAATAAGTAATTATAAGTGTGAAAATTATTACATAAGGAAAAGAGCAGGGTGCTTTTATATTTGTGACAATTTACCCACCAATATTTCTAACTGTCTGGACAAGGGAAGAACATTATATCTATTACCCATATTTGTCACAAAGGCCAAAAGGGAGTTTTCTAGGACATTAACTAGTTCCTTGCTCCCCTATCCTCTTTCCTGCTCTTTCTAGCATTCTATGTTAATTAGACTTTTTTGCATTACTCTAAAAGCTTAACCACGGGGATAAAAAGATAGAACTGAAACTGCATTAAAAGGGAAAAATTCTCTCATACAATGTAACTTGAAGAGAGAAAAGATTATTCATCAAATGTTTTAGTGCAGATAACAATGACATCAGTGGTCTTGAATTATTTAATACTTTGTTCCACAGTGTCATTTATGAGCAATGTCTTTTGCAATTCAGGATTAGAAGCATCTTAACTTTACATTTCATTTACCCTGGTCACGTAGTTTTCAATTATACATTGTCCACGTTGGCTATGCTTCAATTCCTCTTTTCAAGTTATTAAAACTCTTCTTTGTTGAACCTGAGCAAAATACAAAAGTAGAAAAAAATGAAAATAAGTAAACAATCACCCCCAAATAAATAACCCACAATCTAAAACATTGATCTTGTTATACAAAAAAGCAATAAAGCAAGTAAAAAGAGCTAAAAATTATCAGCAAACAAAAATTTGTGAATAATTCTATGTGATGAAAAATATATTAAAAAGTATTTCTCTCTGAAGTGAAGGTGTTATGACATTAATGGACTTGGTGAATGAGTTTAGATGCTGAGTAGAAGAAGCTTGAAATAGTACCAGGGAAAGGTATGGTTCAGCATCAAGGGCTGTGAGACTAAAAAGAATAAGTAAAAGAAGAAGAATATAAAAAGAATATAAAAAGATTAAAAAGATGAGATCATAAAAGCAGTCTGTTTGAGGTTAAGGTCTGAGATTTGTTTAAGTAAAGTGAAAACTTTTCCATTTCAAGGACTGGAATTATGTTGAAATAAATTTTGATAAAACTCACCATTTAAACTTTATGAGTATGAGCCCATAATTGCTACCTATCCATTATATAGAATGTACCCATGAAATTCTGCTGGCTGAATTAGTCATAACCCATTGGTATATTTTTAGAACATTTAGATATATTGGTTGCCTAAACATTTCAGGCAATGTTATTCAAATGTACCACAATCAGAATACTTCAGTAGTTTTCTCCATTTCTAATTAAGCACTAAAACATTAGAAACCACTTAAAACATTTAATAAAATAGATTTTGGTGAATTATGTTTTATTTATTCTAAAAGAATTTGACAATAGCTTAACTAAAACAGTGTTGACACTGTTTTTAATGTTAATGATACTCCCCTTCAATAGAAATAAATATTGACTTGGTTATTTATTTATTCACCCAACAATTATCAGCATCCCTCTGTGCAAAGCCCTGTAGTAAGACATGTGGGGAATATTCAGATAAATCAGACAAGGATTCTGCTCATTCTAATATCACAGTTAATTTGGGAGGCTAAAACAGATACATAAATAGCTATAACATGAAATAGGAAGTGGTAAATGCTAAAAGAGATGTGAGCATAAAGTTCAAGAACAGTGAGAATATATTGCCATCAGAGATGTACAGGAAAGGCTTTGTGGAGAAAGAACATTAATGCTGAATTCATTCTGTCTTTCAAAAATATATATATACTGGAAAGGTCCCAGCCCTCAATGAAGTTGCAGTCCAACAGGGAAGGCAGACAATGAGCAAATAAAGATTTGAGA